TTATGAATTAAGAAGGAGCGTTTCATTTAAATGATTTTAATGTTAAAATATTATATCATACTAGCATTGCCTGCGGCTCCGCCCACGTTAGGGTGACTTAAAACCAAATAAAATAGCGCTATTGTTATTTATTTTTCAAGATTATTACTATCAAAAGATAAGCTATTATTAATAGTTTTTGCCTTATTACTAAGTTACCTTGCTAAAATATATGTAGTATCATCGTTGTTTTATTCTAAATATATATATAATAATTATAGATTCGGCATCTGTATCGATAATAATGTCTATTTCGATAAGATTTTCCAAAAAATATTTAATGTACAGATTCGACTAAGTTAGAATTTTATTATATGTATAGATTATATGTAGATCAATAAAACTTTTATTTGCAACTTCTTTATTTTTTTATATGGCCAGAAATGTCTTGTAGAATGTTCAGTTCGGTCTACACTCGCCTTATCCCCCTTATAGGGAGAAAGGATTCCGTTTTCAATTTACTTTATTTGCACTTGTTTTAATAGGTCTCTTCTTATTGCGCGGACCACCATCCAAATTGCTTCGTGCCTGGACGCCTTTTGATTAAGGGCCACATAGCATCTAGGCGAAAAAACAGAGCAACCAACTATTTGTGTATAGAGTGAGGTCTCCTGAGATATATTAGACATCCGATTGGATTCTAAACATTGCTGTAAAGAGGATGGAACACAATATATTGAATACCTATTATTTTTAGGTTCATATTGAAACTTTATAATAATATATATGCCTATCAAAAATGAGTGTATCTAAAAGTAAAATATCTTCTTGAAATTTTAATTCTTGTTTAGAATTATAGGCATATCAAACATCAATAAGTAAGGCATAGTAAGTGTTGGCAGGCCAAATATATTAATTGACATTTAAGAAAGGTACCTTAATATTTGATAACCACAAATGCTATTTCTAAAATGATTCAGTGATGACGGTCGACAGTTATCGAAAATACATTATGAAGAATTATTTATTAAAGGGATAAAGTGTTTGCCTAATAATAATTATTAATCATTCCTATCTACACTCGCGTGCAACTGAATCGACCCAAGCCGTATATTGGTATATAAGTTTGATTTTTCGGAAAATGGCTTATCCGATTTTTGTAAAAGTTTTTTATTCGAAAGACATATTTTTTTCATAAATATAGCAATTTTCAAATAAACAATGACATTTTTTTTTAAATAAATACGGTCAAACATGAGCGTTACAGAAATTACTCGTTGCGGTACCCACGATTTGCGAGACTAAATCATGTATAAAAGCTCACGTGACCCATATTTCTTATCAGTCACTCGTCAGACATTGACAGGTACACATCTCCTTAAGCTCCCAGTATTTTAATCGCGATCCAATGGACACCACCTCAGAAGCAGCGGCCCAAGTTGTAGCTTTGTTGCAAGCGGGCCATAATCAACGGTAAGTCGCTCGTGAACTTAACATGAGCCAATCAGCTGTTTCACGAGTATACAGAAGGTTTCAAGAGACTGGTGGCTTCGTTCGGAGACCACAAACCAATAGACACCGGAGCACATCTGGGACGGACGACCGCTTCATTGTCTCAACTTCGTTGAGAAATCCTCATCTCACGGGCGTTGATGTGCAACAAGAGCTCAGAAGGGTTCGAGGAGTGGCTGTCAGTCAGTGGACAATTAGAAGACGCCTGAAGAAAGCCAATTTAACTCGTAAGCGGCCAGCCAGAGGCCCGAAACTGAGCGCAGCTCACCGTCAAGCCCGACTTCAATTTTCTCGTGAACACCTCAATTGGACTATTGAACAATGGAGCTTCATCCTGTTCACTGACGAAAGCAGAATGTGTCTCCATGGCAACGACAGAAGAGACCGAGTATACAGAGGTCCAGTGGAACGATTCTCGCAATGCTGTTTCGCTGAAACAGTATCATATGGCGGTGGTTCAGTCATGATGTAGGCTAGAATATCATATGAAGGGAAGACCGAGCTTGTTTTCGTGCCTGGTGGTGGTCGGAGTGGTGGTCTAACAGCTCATTATTACAGGAAAACATTCTCCTCGATTATGTTGTATCTTATGCAGGGTACATAGGAGAAGATTTTCTATTGATGCATGATAATGCTCGGTGCCATACAGCAAGTGTTACTCGCCAGTTTCTTCAAGAGGTGCAAATTGAGACGATGATGTGGCCAGCCCTCAGTCCTGATCTGAATTGCATTGAGCATTTATGGGAAGAGCTCAAACGGAGGGTGCGAGCTAGAGATACGGCTCCATCAAGCATCGTCGAGCTCAAAACTGCGCTAGAGGCAGAATGGAATACGATACCTCAAGATTTTATCAAAAAATTGATAAAATCAATGAAAATTCGCATGCAAGCGGTTATAAAAGCTAGGGGAGGCAATACAAAGTAAGTTTTAATTTTCTTTACTTTTATCAAAAATATTTTTTTATTCATGATGTTGTTGTTTTCATTTTTCTTCATTTTTTATGCATTTCTGTCAAATAAAATTTTATCAATAAATACTCAACCAATTTTTCTCATAAGGATAGCATTTTTTAGGGGAAAAGATTAGGCTTTCAAACAAAAAAAAACAAGAAAATCGGATAAGCCATTTTCCTAAAAATCGAACTTTTATACTAATATACGGCTTGAACTGATGGCTCCAAAACGCAGAGTGGCTTTGGAGCTGGGATATTTTCCCTCGATCTCAATGTCAACATACACATACCATTAGGCATACACAGTTCGATCTTCCAATGCGAATGTGTAGCCATAACGGAAGCCGCAAGGGCAGTGCAAAGACGGGAGGTAAATAATTATACCATAAAAATCCTCTCCGATAGCGCGGCCGTTCTGCAAGTGTTAACAAACAAACAAACAAACAAACAATAAATTAATAATTGAGTGTCACCATTACCTCGATACAATAGCACTGACCAATCAAGTCACTGTTCAATGGATCAAGGGCCACAGCGGCTCACTAGGCAACGATGCAGCTGACGAACTTGCAAAGAAAGGATCGAGGTTAGAAGTAACTGGCCCATACCCACTTCTTCCTCTACCTTTTTCACAGGTTCGCACCTGGATCCGCCAAAGAACGCTGACGCTTCAAAATAAGAGATGGTCGCTAAGGACAGACTGCAGGCAAGCTAGATCAGCATTGCCCGCAGTCAACCCACGTCTCACTAAACGCCTACTAAACTTAAATAGAACCAATCTCAAAATAATGATAGGGACAATAACGGGCCACTGTCCCTTAAACAAACACTTATTTAACATTGGCGCAACGGACAGCCCTCTCTGCAGAGGGTGTTTTAGCGCTGTAGAATCAGTCGCTCACGTAGTCCTGGAATGCGTAGCGGTAACTTCCCAACGAAATGAAATCCTCGAACCGGTTAGGTCGCTCCGCGAAGCCTGTGAAGCTCCCAGGAAGCTTTTGCGCTTTTGGACGGAGTTAGGCTGGCTGAACTAGCCAGGATTCGCAACGTACAACGGACCAAATGCGAGTCTAAGTGCGGAAAACGAGTCCAATATACAATACAATACAATATACGGCTTGAGTCGATTCAGTTGCACGCGAGTGTATCTTCACGTATTTTTGGCTTACGGAGTAAATAGAAGAAAAGCTGTCAGATTTCCACCAATATCGAAACATTGCGAACAGTAAAGTATCGACCGAAAACACGAGAAACCGCTAGTTATTAATTTAATAATTTAATGTAGGAATCGACTGTCCCACTACGTCAGACAGACTATTGATAATAAAAGATAACCGGCTAAAAAGTATGTTTAATTGATGTATAATCGTTATATTTAAAGATAAAAAGTATCCGTCCTTATGCAAACTCAATAAAATAGTAGATAAACATCGAGTCGTCAAGAAATATCGACGTTGGAAGGACAAATATAAAAGGCACACGGAATAACGAGCTCAATACAAACAGCACTCAAGTCTCAAAGACATAGACAAATATATACGGCTGTGTATGTATCTGGCGTGGGGATATAATTTGACACTAACTCTACATATTGGGCCAACGTGTCCCAGAAAAATGCGAACGAACAAATGCCTATCTATAGACTTAACCTATAAGCCAACCAGACCGATGACTCCAACGCAAGGTCACGTTGGGCATGTGTTATGGACGTTGGCCAAATAGACAAACTAACGGTAACCAGATGTATAGCTACAGAGTACGTGACCGCACCTGTCAATGGGCTACAACAGTCGCCTGTCGGCACTCATTGTGTGGCTATAACAATCGGATTAATTTAATTAATACCTCAGACGCCTCCATATATGCTTGTTTAGCTTGCATTATATAATGTAACAGATGATAATGTAGCAAATTACTTAAGGCTAACGTTTGGTGTTACAACTCTCGTATTTAACACCTTATTACAAACTACATATTTAATTTCTATATTATTTTAAAACAATGTGGTAATAGCACTAGATTACTGTAAAGAATATATGAATTATTTCACAGTGTGAGGAGTATCTAACAAAAGAGTGCCAATTAAAAGGCAGATAATAATTATTTATCACAATGTCGTTATTGGACGCAGGACAAAAGCTGTTGCATACCCGTATAAACGGGATGACACCGTATCAATACACTAATTAATAAGCGTCGGAGCAAACCAACGTAGTTTTCAATATACTGGCCATAGTCGACAGCGAAGTTAATTAGGTAGCAATTTTGTAGGTTAAAACACAACTGTAATATCTATTAAAATTCATTTTCTGGTATAATACACATTTTAAAAATGAGGTTTACTTATACAATTGCATATTATCGTAGTCATCACTACTAATCTAATAAACTCTTACCATTTTTAAAATTAAGAACCCGACTCTTTCTTACTCAAAATATTTAAGTCATTATATTTACGTCATGATAATGAAAATATGTACGCGAAAAAAAACATATTTATAATTTTTGTTTAAAATTTTCCTATTTAAACAGAAGAATATTAAAATAAATCACTTACCTTAACCAATGTCTTTTAGCGATCGCGGTATGGCAGCAAATTGCGTCATATTGGTCGGCGATCCACACGATGAGAATGATGTAAAATGCTGTAGTAGTGTCGTTGAAAAATTCTGACATGATGGCTTCCATACCTAATGACAAAAGAAGCGCATTAGATAACAACAATAAACCTAGATTAGTGTTAATAATATAATTATGAAACACTGTATGATTTTTATACTAAATATTTTGCCTATTTTTGATTACATTGAAGAAAAAATTGGACAGCACATAAAATTATTTTATAAAAAAATTTACAATACCTACTTATTTTATTATGATTGAAGCTAATCGATGAAAAATTATCATCCAAAATATGGCGTATATTCAGAGCATCAAAATCGAAATAGAAAAAGAAAACATGCGAAATATCTCGCTTCACATCATAAAAAATGGTATTCATAATTACATAATTCTGTGATAAGGAAAAAATGTGTGTACACAAATTCATATATATTTATATATTCATTTTATTGTTCAAATATATATATATATATATATATATATATATATATTTGAACTTTTATATTTAGAATAGTAATCCGGTTAAATTAGAATCTTAACATTGATGTTACGTCATACTATATTTTATCAGTGTTCAAAAACTTTAAAGCTCGTAGTCGTAACTGAGTCCTAAGCAAACATCATGGAAACAGTGCAGTGTCGTGGCATTTAAAGTATCATCCGAAAAACGATATAGTTTATTGGACGCAAATGAATGCGTAAATTTTTGTTGATAATAATTGAATTATATAGTGCTGAAGTGTATAATATATTCCATGTACGTTCGTACAATATTTTCTAAGAAGTATCATATCAGATCAAGCAGTTCGAATAGAAAAGAGCTTCTTATTGTTCAATTTTCTAAAGGATACTAATCTATTATTATAATAAAACTGTAGAGGTCGAATGTCTGTACATAGAAAAAAAAGCTTAAAACCTAGTCAGGGGGATGTAAGAAGAGAAATAGAATAAATCCAGTTTGTTTTTTCAATTTTTTTTATTTCTCTGCCTGTTTGTCTGTTTGTACGGGCTAATCTCCCAAACTATTGGACCGATTTAAATGAAATTTTGCATGGTGGTACCGTATATCCCGATCAACATTTTAAACTTTTCATTCCAGAAAATTAAAGTGTTCCCGTGGAATAGTTATAAACACTATAGTAACTTATACCGCTTAGTACACTAAAACTTTTGATTGGATTTTAATGAAACTTTACTAATATACTAATAATATAGTTCATACATCACAATAACAAATAGGCTATTTTTTATCCCGGAAAAACGTACGGTTCCCGTGGGATAGATTTGTATAAGTAATATACGTATTAAGGAGTGTTAGTACAAAGACCTATTAGTAAAAATACTAATATATAAAATTTATTAGAAAAAAGGAAATTAATATAAAATAATAAATATTTTGATTAAAATGAGAGATTAAACAATTATGATTTTTTAATGAAAACGGATAATTATGAAGATAGTAAACATTAAGTCCAATAATATGATTAATTTGTACTAAAACATATTTAAAAAGATTAAACATATACACATGATTCAGAAACAGTAAAAATTAAAATTATTAAAGTATAAGGGTAAAATATAAGTATTTAAACAAATTTGTATTTATATAGTTCCCAGAACTATATTTCAATAATATATTTTCTCGAGTTAAAGCGTCCGCGTTTAGTCGTACGGTAGAAGCAAGCTACTTGAAAGTGCGACCGCATATTTCAGCTCGGTGCAAGCATTAAATATCGCGGGTCATGTGTGAAGTCACTGGAGACGGCGGTGTCGGAGTGTCGGACTAATTAGATGTCGACAATTACGTTCTAACGACCGAAATCCGAGCGCCAGGAGCTTATTAACCGCCTGATATGCAGTGGGACACCGACCGCCTCAGCTGGTTTAGGATACATTTATATAGGGGCCATGGTTCTAATATTCTTTGGGGTTAAAAATGTACGAAAATCTGGTTTGAAAAATATAATGGAATTTACGTTACAGTAAAAGAATACCCGATCTAAAATAAGCATTATTTTACTCTTTATTTGTGTCAGACATTAGTCGAAACAAACAAACACACGGATAACAATGATTATATTAGATTACAATGATTATATGGTAATAATTATATTATAATGGGTTGGACTACCAGTTAACACAAGACAGACACACAAGCATATTGTATATAAGTATATTATACTTGTAAAAACAAATCATAAGCAATTAAAAAATATAGTTTCGATGAATATCAATAAATCCCGCATGAATTCAACATACAGTCCTCAGACAATTGGTCCATAGCGGGGACATAACTCAATATAACACGGGCAACTGTCCGGCGCCGCGGCAGATCCTTATTTGCATTTTGATGAGGCCCTGCACTGATACAATAAACACGTTAGGAGCAGTGACGAGACCGACGCACCGACATGCCGACATCCAACCCACCGGCGACGTTTAACCGTATCACTCATAACTATGTTCGTCCAATTAATCCTAACTTGGAATTAATTATACCCAACAAGGGATATTGTCGTTCACAGCAGCAGCAAATTATACGGTTTCAGATCATTCAATTGGAAGGTGTTAGATGGATATGTGATGTGAACTTTGATAAAATTCTACAAAAATTTAAATAATGGCAATTTCTTTAATATGTAAATGTTTAATTCTTGCTTTTTTTGTTTCATGATATTGAATAATATAGAAAGGAAAATTTAAAAATAACAAATATTTCTATAACTGCTAAATTCATTCAATCATTTTGCATTTGCAGTATTTCGCGCGTGCCTCTCACCCATCTCCAGCGATCTTCGTCTTGTGTCGGAATTAAAATTAATAGCGGACGCCGGCACGTCGGCCGTCCCCGTCTCGACCCGCCCGGTAATTTGTTTACTCGCCTCGCTTCGGATTACGTCGCATGCTCCGCTGAATTGGTAACAGCCGTGACTTTTTAGCTATGAATGATCAAACCGCAAACAATAATTATTAATTACTAGCATTGCCCGCGGCTCCGCCCGCGTTCAGATGACCAAAAACCAAATTCTTAGGTTTTACATATTAGTATACTCTTACATTGCAGTTGTTGTATGTTTTCTCAGAAATGAGATATTTTCCCGCGGTAAAAAGTATCCTATACGTTGACCCGGATAACCAGCTATCATCATACCAAATTTCATCAAAATCCCTGCAGTAGTTTTTCCGTGATACGGTAACTAACAGACAGACAGACAGACAGTCAAAAATTCGAAGAACTATAGATTCGGCCTCAGTATCGATAATAATGTCTATTTCGATAAGATTTTCCAACAAATATTTAATTTACAGATTCGGCTTAGTTACAATTTTATTATATGTATAGAATACTACACAATACCTGGCTAGTTACAAAGGTAATACTTAAATGGTAAGAGAGCAAGATAAAGAAAATAATTCATCCAGTATAAGACTAGATATAATTATTTGAATATAATAATTATACTTCTTGTTCTGATTTAGAACTTAATGTATACTTTGTGTGATTGTACAATTTTAGTATTTTTAGTTTAATGCAAAATATGGTGTTGTTATGGCTTGATTAACATGCAACTAAAATAATTATAATAACATCTAAAAAACCTCTTTTTAGGAAGTTTATTTATCAATCTAACGTAATAGATGAAATATTTTTGTACAAAACAATAATAAAAAGCAAAGTCGATGACTTATAGGTACGACAATAACTTACTAAGCATTGAACTTCATTCACTGTAGTAGGAGAGCATGTTTGACTTCAACTAAGGTGTAGGATATAGCACAAATTGTTCTTTCTAGGGTTTAATCAAGGGGGACACCCGTCGTGTCTGTCGTCCGCTTCCTTGGAGCTTGGTGCAAATTGAGAATAATGGAGCCTGTATCGTTTTAGGGTTCTTTAGATAAGATACGAAATAGTTCTTTTCATGGCAATAATCCTTTTAAATAGTTTAAAGCAAATAAATCACTTTCTAGACTTCTCGCTGTTAATTACTATAATATTACTAATATGATTTTATTTTTTAAGTTATACAGCACACCCCTGATAGACTTTCCCATAACACTAAGGTGATATTATAAATGCAAAGTTTTGCTAGCTAAATAAATTTTGAGCTAAAGTACCTGTTCATAGTAGTAGTAAAAACCAAAAGAAATATAGAATGTGAATAATTCGGTGCGCAACTGTAAATGTACAATTGTTTATATCGACAAAATTTACTTACTGTTGGTATAATAAGTTTGCTCTTAACTATACAGAAATATTTAAGATATTTATTAATAGTAAAAACATTATTTTAATTACATATTATGTGTCGCATTCATCAATAGCTAGCTGCGTATGGGCAATCGTCTCGTACCCCGCGGCGCTTAAGTTTCGGCGCTAAGCTCGTGCATTGGTATTTGTCTTTACGAGCTCGTTAGTGACGGTAATCGTTGCAGGAGCCGGATTACGTCTGTGCATTATTAGTGTTTTTATTGATTCACTCGCCTCCCGTCGTAAACTGAGATTATTATTCGCGACGCACCCCGCCCCGCGGACCCGCGCCGCCCGCCCTTGGCTGGCTTGTTTTGTTACTTAATCGCAACGATAACAACATTTAACGACGGCTAGGTGACTGGCTAAATTCCACTCCGATGTTTAGTGCTCATTCTATTTTCATTAACCATTCACCCACTTAATGATCCAGATCCTAAGGGAGTGATTCAATGACTTGGCGTCCATAAAATTAAACCTTGGCGTGACCTGGTGATACGTATAGATCACAAGGACAGCGAATTAAACACGAATGAATTTACATCTACATACATACATATATCTATCTATCAATACATTACATACATATGTTTGTATCGTAACTAAAAACATATCATTGTTAAAAAATATTAATCTTCTCCATTTACCAACTGCAATACGTTAAATAGATTGTGAGTATGTATGGATGTTTGTTACTCTTTCACGCCACAACGGCTGAACGGATCTGGATGAAATTTGGCACAGAGATTATAGTCTGGCTGGTCATATAGGCATCATTTTCATGCCGGAAAAATATACGGTTCAAAAGGGATAGATATG